TATATATATCAATATATTACGTATGGTTATAGAGATTTATCGACATAAGTCACTTCTTAAAAAACGTCATGGTCTCGATTTAGAACCTTGGTTTTTTTCACACCAAGTATCTCAATTATCGATTTCCAAGAGTTATTCGTTGCAATCAAWTTCTTTTAAGTCTCAATTCTCACGTGTCATGTTTTCTATTGAGTATTACAATCTCATAATTTTCGTACTCWTAAAATATTYGTATTCTTTAAAATATCTTCAAACCAAAGTGCTCGGTTCTTTCTTTTGCCCCCATTAATAACGTACCAAATTTTCGCTATGATTACGAATCATAACCGTAAAATGTCGATGTGGTATAATTTTGATCTAAAACGGTTGAYGGAGATAAAAACTCATATGTAAGAGATGTATGCATAACATAACTACATCGAGAAACATTATGTTGAAATAACAAGTGTAGAAATTAGCTCTTATGCATCGAGACTTGGGATGAAAGCAGATGAAATGCAAATTGGTCTCGATGGCTCCAGTTGGATTTTCCATGAGAAAATTTGTCATAGTTGGGCAACAAAGATGATGATTCAAGAATACCTACCATTTTCGACATTTAAATAATCAAYGAATCATGAGTTGATACAAAGCCTCTTCAATCGAAATAACTATAAAAAACCAGCTTTTGGTATTGTAAGCGACTTGGTGGGGCAAGTGCACAGTCGAATTGGTGCTCGCCCAGTCTTTCAAACATTATCTTCTTTTCAACTTTCATAAACGACGAAGAAGTCGCATGCGAGTTGCGCATCTATATTGCAGACAATGTACCGAAAGTCGTCTTCCTTTCTACGAGCATTGTTACTGGAAAAGGCTTTTTACACAATAGTAAAAGAATTTTTACACAGTTTTGGAAACATGTAAAAGCCCACCATGTAAGAAAGTGCAAGACCTTTTTACACGATTTGGGAACCATGTAAAACAGGGACTTTTTTATACGGTTCCAAAAGTGTGTAGAAAGGGGAAAAAAATCGTGTAAAAAAGGACTCAATTTTACACGGTTGTTACGCAAAATTGTGCAAAAATAGAGGGTTTTTTTTACACAGTTGTTTATCAAAACCGTGTAAAAAATCACCTTGTTTTACATGGTTGCTAATTAAAACCGTGTAAAACACAGTGACCTTTTTCACGGATTTGACAAATAATCATGTAAAAAAGTCTTATCTTTTTTTTACACAGTTCTACTAACAACCGTATAAAAAAATAGTTTTTTTAAAAAGGACTAGGATTCAGAATACCAATATACGAATCCATATTAAAATACAAATGACATCTAATTAACTTTGCACTAACAACATCAACAAATAAAAGAAATGCAAAGATGGYTAGCTAGGGTCGACCCTCCTCCTTTATCAGGCTTGGGATTGGCATTGTCGTGTCTTGACATGGGCGGAGTTACCTACCCCAACCGCATCTAAGGATAAAGAAGAAAACTTAAAAACTCTGGCCTTTTCCGTGCCTATTTAACTCMAAATCAACTCAAAACTTAAGAAAATCAGCACTACACCACCCAATGACCACCATGCCACTACTATTRTCATCACACCCACCCATCCCACCCYTGTCGCCCACTCCACATTCCCACTATGACCATGCTACTGTTGTCACTGTCACACCCCTACCCCTATCCCCCCACAATCACACCATTACTATCATTGCCACAACCGTCACTTACTCCCACCCTACCCCTACTCTTAACCTACGACAACTACTGTCGTCATACCATCTCACCTACGCCCACATCCACCACCCACCTTCGCCCCCTACCCACCCATACTGAACGTCATGTCACTACTAGRATCTTGTAAGAAGACTAAGGATTTGTCACAATTCTGCAAATGAATGGACGAATGCTTGTTACGATGGGAGTGGGAAAAATGTTGGCGGTTGGGAGTGTTTAGGAGAAGAAAGGAATATTTGATCAAAAATGTTGGAGGAGTTTCAATTAAAAACAAAAAATCCTTTTGTTGCAGATTGTGGATGCTTGGATTAGTTTTAATTTGTAAATGGAAGTTTTTTTAATTTTAATAGAAAATTAAGAAAATAGGTAAAATACCTTTCATTAAAATTTGACTTAACGAACAAAATTTAACGGCCGTTAGGAAAAAAGGACTAAAAAAGTTGTAAATTAACAAACGTCAGAGACCAAATCTAAATTTTCAAAACTTAAAAATGATATTYGTTAAAATTTACAAACCGTAGGGATGAAAAGTGAAGTTCACTATTTTGTGTGGTAATATTGAAGAGACGCGTACGTATTTTAGTTTTGACTTTTCGTCATTGATTTCTTAACATCTTCCGAAAGGAAAAGCTAATGCCGTGTTGGGTTCGTGATTCTCTGATTCTTCAAGGTCAAAACTATTTCCCAGAATCACGAACCTAAACCCTTCTCCCCTCTTTGATTTCTTCATTCTCTTAACMTTCATCTTCTAATCTGTCATTGGACCCTGTTTTTTGCTCTCGATTTTGGAGGAGGATCCACGATTGATTATAATCGTAAGAACACGTTTACCTTTACTCTTTACTTGTCATACTTGATTTTTTAATTTTCGTAATGGTCATCACCTGTTGCTGTTTATTAACTGCAGAAACCAGCCACGTTTTTGGTGAGTTCCAGATGCTTGTGACTGCAGAATTGTGAAACAGTGTTGTCTTTTATGTGGGTTTTTTTCTTCACATACAAAAGTCGGTCAAATTGCCTTCTGTTCAATGTGTTTGGTGCCTTTGTTTGTTTGTATYGTAATAGCTATTGCTGGATTGTTGTAATATGATTCATGGTAGCTTTGGATTCTTCGAGTTCTTCTTTGTTTGACACCCACGTTGGTAAATTTTGCATACAAGCTAAGATTTTAGATAGTTAGCTCTGGCTACCTCATTGGCTACCCGATTCTATTTACATTATGATCAATAGGGTATATTATAAGCCACATCTGTTACYAAGGTTCATTCCTTTTGAAAATCTCAATTCTCCAATAGTACTTGTTCTCATTAATCTCAATTTATCGTATTCGTAGGGCTTAGTTCTGTGTACCTGGAGTTACTTATGTGATATGTCTAAATCCTTCTGTTTCTGTGTACTAATATGATATCTTCAGTCTTGTAACAGAAAAGGAACATCTAGTAGATTTGTTTGATCACGAATTGCTTACGACCTATTCTGTGGCAGGTGAAGAATGATTTGCCTTATTTATTTGTATGTAATAGGCTATTAGTTAAACTGGATTGGCTCTAACTGTCAATTTCCAGTCCATGTTGAAACTTGACATCACATCTTTATTTTCATTTTTGTGATATTAGCCTTTAGACATGCATAATTACATTGATCCAAACCAATAAATTGGGTTTATCACTAGATATTCACTTGTACAAAATGCTTTTTAACTACAGAACTCTGAGAAGAGTAGTTATAACAGAAGAGCTAATTTTCCCTATTCTTTATGCTTTTTGTTCCTGTGCCAACTATGAGACAGTGGCTTTTCTGCAGGCGGAGTTTCATTTGAACCTGTACAGATAGTAGTATTACTTGCGTAATGGGTTGGCTTAGCAGAATTTTTAAAGGCTCTAGCCATGAAGTTTCAGAAGGGGGATATAACTGGAGATATGAAGAGAATACAGTGCCAACTGCAAATTATCCTTCTACATCATGGGTAAATAATGCTGTTATTCAATGTCATCCATATACTTCACTCACTTTTAAGATATTGCAATATTTTGGCATATTGAGTTTAAATTTGAGGTCTTAATTTCTCTTTTCACATTGATATATGATTTGACCTTGACCGAGGATTCGACCTGGGACCTATCTTGTTTTACACAATAAACGCTGYCCAAATTTAATTTTTTACTTTATAACTTGGATATAACTTCAGCAGGATCCACAGTCTGAGATAGAAGATATTGATCGTGCAATTGCCATATCACTTTCCGAAGAAGAAGGGAGAGGGAAACACGTGATCAGTAAGTTATTTAATTATCAGCTCATAATGTATCTTTCATAGTAAATGTAAATATTTGTGGAACTATAGATTCACATGGGTTGTGTTGACATTGTGTTTCACAGTATCCAGTTATTTCATTATGTTCTTAGTAGTCTGCAGCCATGCTCAGGCTGATGATGYTCCTAAAAAAGTCATCAATGTAGAGTTGTCCATACTTTTGGCCTAGGTGGCAATTCCCTTTCCAATTACATGTATCTTTTTTAAGAAATCTATATTTCCATTTAAATTAGATATGTATCCTGAATGATTATCCAGGACGATACAATTTGTACAGGGCGAAATAAGAAGCAAAATTTTTGAGTAGGAAGAAGGAAAAAGGGATATACCAGAATTTTGGGATCTACGAGCAACTCTTTCAGGATGATTGGACATAATAGGAATGATGACTTAATATTTGATAGTCAGTCTTCTCTAAAAGTCTATAACAAAGTTGCCAAGTAACCTAAGTTTAAATGAGCAATGCGCAACACGACTTTAGAACAACTAAAATGTAAATGGTAATGGTATGAATGATCATGCACCTTTTGATAAGATGAGAGAGATGTGTTGGTAGGAATCTGATTTATTTGCCCCAGCATTGGAAATGAAATTCTAATGTAACATGGTGTGTGTTGTGTCTAATTTTTCTGATAGTACCTAATGAACAGCTATAGGCAGCTTGTGAGTAGGTATAAATGTGACATGCTATTTTTGAATATATCATATAATTTCACATTATTCTATTCTGTAACTCAAATATTTGTTTTTGAAATTCGTTGGCTAGGTGATGATTCTCAACTGAAAGAAGATGAACAACTTGCAAGGGCTCTACAAGAAAGTCTGAAATTCGAGTCTCCACCCAAAAATAGAAATGTACATGGCAATGGAAATGGAAATGGAAATGGGAATATTTATCAACCTATACCGTTCCCATATTCGACTGGATTCAGGTAAGTGCATTTATTTCTTYATTGTAATTTCATGCTTAAATATGTTGTTTAGCTTTCCAGAAGACCAGTTCCCTGATATACTTTTGTATTCTCACATGTTATGAGATGTTTGAAGCATAGATCTTGAAATCATAAGGTAAACTCTTGATGATTAACCCATAAACAGTGTGTCGGTGGGAGGTTTAGCCCAAGAAAACCAAATACGAAAAATCAGAACATGCTATACTCTTTTCTTTGTTAACAGACTGGTCAATTTCAAGTTTCAATTTACCACTCCAGTTTAAATTAATAGTTCTTTTTAGCTTTCATGTTTACATGCTTGCAACAGGGGAGAGGATGAGAGTTGAATCTATACATGCCTTTGCTCTAGAAAGGAATAGATTCAATTGGTTATAACATTGCTTTTTCAGCTCAATAAATCTAAGTTTACCTTGTTAAGCCGTAAAATTTTAAAGTATAGAGCAAATGTTGTACTTTATCATCTTATCGCCTATGAAAATAATTATTACTGGTGGCTTTAGTTAACCATCTCTTAAGACACATAAGCWTTTGGATCTTGGTCCCTCAAATATTTTGGGGGTGAAATTCTGGTGTTCCATGTTAACAATGGAGATGTATATGATTGAATGTTGAAACATTTCTTGAAGATCACAGAACCTCATGCWTAAGTTTGGGTGGCTGGATCCATATGCATTAGGGGTGTTTGCAGTGCGGTTTAGAGCCAAAACCGCAAACCAAACGCAAGAGTATTTTCCAAACCACAAATCAGACCGGGCATGCCTCAAACCGTAAAATACCACACCGTATGAGATAGTGTTTATATATAAATATGACGCATGCAAAATTTCTCCTCGGTATAGGACAAAAATTCGTAGTTCATACCCTATTACAATACAAAGTGGAAATATGCAACGTAATTAAGTYTAAATTCATAGGAAAATCAACTCAAACTTTCAAAAATAATAGTAAACAAATAAAAAGAACTCYCAAACTAATAGGAAAAAGAAATGAGGCGTGGTTTACCATGAAAAGGTGTAAGCAGGCTGAGGAACCTAGTACGTAGAATGTGTTGGAAGGAGTATAATGGTGACTGGTGATTGGAGTGAGACCAGATGTASCCAACAGTACCATAGGAAGCATACACATATAAAGGACTAAAGTGATCAATTGAATGCATCTTGACAATGCAATTGTTTTGGACACTCTGGAGAACAGAAATGTGATTTTTCATTAGAGATCATAAATTAATTGATGATGTCAAAAAGCATGATGAAGAGATATAGGTTTTAGAAATATTTTGGTWACTAACCGGGTCTTGCTTTGGATTTTAAAAAGAACAGTTAACAGGACCAGCAAATAGCATTTGYTTCCAGATTTATTTAGAGTTCATGACTTTCTGTAGGAGATGATATACGGATGGCCATTAAGTTTGAGTTATCAATTCAATAATCTTAAAGACTGAAGCCTTATAGTCCATAGGAGTGCTTGTGCTTTTGTTCTATAGACCTATAGGTGTTTGTGTCTATACCACTTCTTGAGCTTCAGGGGTTCCCAGATTTAGTAAAATTATGTCTGTACTTCTATAATTTTCTTTCACTTAATTTGTACCTTTTTGTTGTTGTAGGATATGTGGTGGTTGTAATTATGAGATTGGTCATGGAAGATTTTTAAGTTGCATGGGTGCAGTTTGGCATCCAGAATGTTTTAGATGCCATGCATGTAACCAACCAATTGCTGATTATGAGGTATTGAATTCATACATGATTACTGCCATACATGCWATGTCGAGTGTTATGCTTTAATTCATCAAGATAAGGTTTGAGGTGGTATGAGCTATGAYACATGGTTAAAAGCTTTTTAGGTTCATAATTAGACATGGCATTCAAAACATTTTTCAATGGGTTCACCAGGGAGGAGGTCTATTAGTTTTACTGCAAACAACAAATGATAAGGTTTATCATGATATTCTGCATCTCTTCTTTCTCATGTAGTTTTCCATGTCGGGAAATTATCCTTAYCACGAGTCTTGCTACAAGGAGAATTATCATCCAAAATGTGATGTTTGCCAACACTTTGTAAGTACCGTTTATCATGAAATATCCTCCCTTCTTTTTCTTTATGATAAGCTTTTTCCAGTATTATTTTTGCKCATTTACATTCTTAAGGTTCAGTATGAAAGTAAAATGGAAATGGAGGGTCAAAACTTTACAGTTGTCACTTGCCACTTGCCACTTGCCACATTTCCACTTACTGTATCTTTTATTCGAAGAACTAAAAGTTGTCTCTACAGTCTACAACCACTTCTCCCCCAATTGGTGGCTACTCTCCTGTAACTGACTTTACCCTTTCTGGCCTGTTTGTCAGAGCTTTATGGGGTTATCCAATACTTTTTGTCTCTAGAATTTTTCAAGTGATAAGATTGTCTTGTTTATTGAGTTGAATAAGGTATTGTAATCTAATAATTGTATGAACCTCTCCAATACTATGCAACTGTTGTCTTTTAATTAGAATAGAAAWGCAATCAATCATGCCTACAATCAGTCCATCACCAACTGGTAGTCCATATATAATGCCAATTTGAATCGTAGTCAGGGATAAATACAAAGCACATGATTGCTATATTACTTCTGATTTGTACAAGYATCATGGTTTTAGTTATATGAACAACTAAAATGAGAAAATTGAAGTGCAAAATGTACAAACAAAAAGAAGACAAGGTGTCTAAACGCAATAAAATGGTGTAGAAGGTAATTACCAAAGAAGGATTGGATGGATGTTGCAAATAGCAGGCAAAGTCCGTATGTACCATTTTAAGCCAATGAGTTTTACATTGCGTCAAGAATGTGAATGATGTCAGAAATTAATAAGGGGCCATAGGATTTGCAGAATAGAGAACAARAAGGCACTCCAATGTAAATTAACCAGGAGAAGATGGAACACCAACAACACACAAGATGTGAGGGATGAGGAAGATGCCATTATGTTTTTGTTCTAAATTAAATTATCCTATTGCAATCTTCATTTGGTTGTCTGAAATGTGTACATCTCTTTTACAGATTCCAACCAACGCGGCKGGTCTTATTGAATATAGAGCACATCCTTTCTGGGCCCAGAAATATTGCCCATTTCATGAGCATGATGGGACTCCYAGGTGCTGTAGTTGTGAGCGAATGGAGGTACATTGTAATGAATACATTTACTTCAAACCTGTACTTAATATGAAAGTCGGGTACAAAAAAAGTGACTGCCAATGATTTTCAGCCACGTGAAACAAGCTACGCTGCTCTTAATGATGGTCGGAAACTTTGCCTAGAGTGTCTTGACTCTTCAGTCATGGATACAAGCGAGTGTCAACCACTATATCTTGATATACAAGCATTTTACGAAAGYTTAAGTATGAAGGTGGAACAGAAAATTCCTTTACTTTTGGTTGAGAGGCAAGCACTTAATGAGGCCATGGATGGAGAGAGGCATGTAAGGAAAATTTTCTTGGAATTATTGTGTAAATACTAGGTCTTTTTATGTATCTTGCAGTGAAAGTTTGACATTCTTGGTCTCTTCTCATTTTTTTGGTCAGGGTCATTATCACATGCCTGAAACCCGAGGACTCTGCCTTTCCGAGGAACAGACTGTCAGCACAGTATGTATTCCCAGCTGATTAGTAATTTTAGTTTATATATCCTTAGAATGTTGTTATTAATTTGTTGAATCTTATGTGTTGGCAGGTTTTGAGACGACCAAGAATTGGGATGGGGAATCGGGTCCTGGACATGGGAACAGAACCATATAAGCTGACACGTCGCTGTGAGGTTACAGCAATTCTCATTTTATACGGCCTTCCTAGGTATTTTTCAACTGTTGATCTATCATGAGCTTTAATCTCTATAATTTTGCAAGGCCATTGTTTGTTAGCACAAAAAGTGGTTTTAGTGGGCTCTTTTGGTTTGGTTACTCAAGATGACCAAAGACTTCACACTTTGGCTCAAGGCTCGTTCGTATGGGGTTTTATACCTGGACTGGATTCTGTTACTATACGATTGTAAAAATTCCTCCAAATGTTCAATTGTACTAAAGTTAACATATACTCCGAATTCAATTTATATATTTGGGTGCACATCTTTCACTCGACAAAGAATATCATAATGACATCGTCTTTACACCTAAAAGGCATATTTTCTTCTACTTTGTCTTTTTAGCCACCGGAAGTTCAAGCCAGCATCTATTAGGGCTTGTTTAGATAAAATTCTTGTGATCCATTGCTGATTCAAGAAGTATACCTAAATACAACCTATCAAATTGTCAAATTGAGCTACTTTGTATACTTGCAGTTCAATAATCCAGCTTTATTGGATTTCCTATGTTTATAGCAGTTGGGTTTAAACTAGTTAGTCAGTACTAAATAGCCTGCTGCAAACAGGTTGTTGACAGGATCGATCTTAGCTCATGAAATGATGCATGCATGGCTGCGACTTCAAGGTATGCMGTTGAAAAAACCTGATAAATTATATTTCCTAAGTTGGCAAAACACATAAAATTGTCACTGAATTTTTACACTTGTTTCAATTACATGCATGAACATCAAGATTTATCAWTTACATACTTCTACTCCTAGAATCACATCAATTACATCATTCAAACAATTATCTAAAATTAATGCTCAATTTGGAACAAAAGAACGAGGGGAGAAACAATTTAATGTAGAAAATGTTAAATCATCTTAACCTTCATTGATTAATTATGTTCGATAATCTGGTTAAAATGATGTAATTGATATGACTATGAGAGTATAAACAACGTTTGTTTATTGAAAAAAAAATGTGAAAGTACAGTTACTTGTTTATTTATTTTGCCTAAATTGATTCCTTAGATCACTTGATTCTTTACTAAAATATAGTGCATAAATCATTCATTAAATGAAAAAATAATTAAGAAAACTTACATTTCAAAATAAATATCATTTAACAACTTATTTTGTTTTCTTTTTCTTTTCCATTTCCATTTCTTACCGCAAGGGTATCGAACACTCAGTCAAGACGTTGAAGAAGGAATATGTCAAGTTCTAGCTCATATGTGGCTAAAAGCCCAAATAACTTCCATATCTGGTAGGAACCCGACATCCTCGTCCTCCTCTGCCACATCATCAAGTCAAGGGAAACGATCTCCGTTTGACAAGAAGCTTGCAGAGTTCTTCAAACATCAGATTGAATCAGACATGTCACCRGTTTATGGAAATGGTTTCAGAGCTGGCAATCAAGCAGTACAAAAATACGGACTTCCACGGACCTTGGATCACATTCGATTGACAGGGAGCTTTCCTTTTTAAATTTGGATCATTTTATGTCTCCAAATTTTTGTTGAATTCTTTTATTGAGATTATAGAAAATATACCACTATCAAAACTATATTTGTATGCTACCTGTAGATTTAGTCAATATAGTAATAAAATCACGCATTCTTTTTACGTTCATTTTTGTCGACTGCGCTTTCTGTTATCTAGAGCTAATCGTGTTACCATGTAGGCWGGTAGGGGGAGCAACTAAACAATCAAAAAAGCGAAAGCTCTTGGTCTGCTTGTGGATCTCAATTACTTGGGTGCGATACTATGGTACCCAAAACGCTTTTCGTGAAGGCTTTAATCTCATTTTCCATTGATACCAATTGCTGGTCTTGCAAGTTAGAAGCTTGAAAGGTTTGCTTTCAAGGAGTAATTGCCCTAGCGGTATCTGGTTCTGTCCTCCTTGGAGGTCAGGGGTTTAATTCTCATGTGCTTATTAGTTGCATTTACCGTATATGAATATTATATACCTATAAAAAAGGAGTAAACTGCTACTCGTTGATGCTTTTGTGGACATGCCTTGTCATGTTGAGGTGCTTAGACTAGAGGGTAAAATTTCATGAAAATTACAGCTCTATTCTTTATAAGGATAAATGTCATGTCTAAGTACCTCTACTCGAGGACCCCACTTCCGAATGGATATTGGGTTTGCTTCTTTTGGTTTTGGTGTGTGGGAAAAATATCGAACAAGTTTTGGTCGATATTTAAGATCTAAAACCATGRAAAATAAGGGGCGTAGTAGCATGTCTAGGCTATCTCAACCAACCAATCATATATGAAGGCTGTTGCTATAAATATAATACGTGAGAAAAGGGAGGTTCAAAAGAACCAAGGACGATTAATGAGAATATGATGWCTATTCACCAATCTAACTAAGGGCTAAAAAAGAGGACCGTATTTTTTAAGTTATGGGCAAATCAATGCATTAACGAGAGCATTTTTAACAGTTATGTTATTATTATTTTTTTAAATTAGAGTATTAAAAGTTAAATTTTTTAAAAGAAATACATTCAACTGCAACAACTACTTTATTTTAGTAATTATAACATTAACTATTATTATAATATTCTATGAATTTTAGTGAAATATTATATCTTTCTTTTGAACATTTATTTTCAATATCTCTTGTTGATAAAAAAGAAGTAAATAACCACAAGGGTG